CGGACTCTGACAGGTAAGAGGGGCGTCCTCTCCTGGTTTGACTTTGAATTGGTCTAAACAGAAGCAGAAAACATCCAGAAGTAATCAGAAAACTGACACAGAGCTTTTTAGAGGGGGTGAGGCCGGTCTGTGAGCTCCAAGCAGGTTACACAGTGTTTGGTGGAAACACAGCTCACCTGGGTCACTGAGGTTTACACTAACTGGTCTGGACTGGCGCTGTGGGCGGTTAATGGAGCTAACTCCGCCTTTCTGTGTCCCTGTCAGTGACACCGTCCAGGAGACGTTTGTCCTGGAGGTCAACGAACTCTTCCTGGAGAACACGAACCGAACGCCACCTAACTCCTAGGTGGAGATATGAACGGCCGTAGAGCTGCAGTGATCAGCTGATCACCTCAGACTGTTTTACACCTGTCTTCACAGTCACTCCTCTTTAAAGCAAACATGGCAGAGTTGACCTCCTGCACATTCACAACAAAGACAGGACAGACATCTGATGACCGGCCTGTTGTAGGTGGAAACAACAGCTTCTCCGGTTTCTGGTGGCCTGGTTTCCCTGGTTTTACATAATGCCTGCATGAACCGGGCTGAAGCGGCTTCTCTGGTCTCTTCTTTAGTGCTGCTGTTCGTCTTTAAGGAGGTCCAGGTCACAGTGTCTGGTGCTGTTCAGTTCTGTCAGTCTTAATGTGAGCGGAGGGTGGAGGCCAACATTAGCTCCAGCAGAGCAGCTTCCTGGAAAACGGAGCCACTATCCTGTTGTTTACCATCAGCAGTTTCACTGTGACACCAGAGGATTCTCTGGGTTTTTCCATTTTACTGTCACATAACATGACCTTTAAAATCACACACAACCAAACAACGTTCCTCTTAATACCAAGTCAATAAGATTTACTACAAGTAACAATAACCAGGCTTTTTATTATAAGAATGATAACAGTGTCATCACCATCATAACTGTCAGGAAGCTGATGTACCGCCTGTAAAGACGCAGGTCAGATCAAAACATCAAATATCAGTTCATGGCTTTTACAGTGACACTGACGTTTTATCTGTTGACAAAGGGAGACTTCTTCTGCCATATGGCCGCCTTGCCCCCCCCCCCCCCCCCCCCGTTTACAAACACCACCGCACTGAGGGGTCACACAGTGGTTCCAGCTGTTTATGGAGATAAAATACTATCAAATGTTACAAATGCGTGTTTAACGTTTTGTCTGTAACAAGCCATTTGTGTGTGTGTGTGTGTGTGTGTGTGTGTGTCGTGCTGTACAAACTGCACATAAAACACATTTGACAAATGTTTAAAATCGATTTGTTGTGTGCAGTTCTTTAGAAAGTACGTACACATTGTTACTTACGCATGCGTGGATCGTCTAACACACACGAATCACCTTCCGCGCACACACG